CTCTGTTTTGGGACCATTTGCAGGCCATTTTCTGGGTCATTTTGGGCTGTTTTCAGAACCGTTGATGGTCAGGAAGGGGAAAAAAGGAAAAATCGCAACCTAGCAGCCATGTTTGCTGGCATGCATACCAGGTAAGGAGTGAGTAGGAGGGGAAGGGCCAGCCAGGGGCACAATTTGCCGGTTCTCCGAACTGGGCAGAATCATAACAACCGGTTCTATAGAACCAGTCCGACCAGGGAGAATCCCACCCCTGAGCACATTGGAAATTAGTTAAGCACATGGGGCTCCCCGTATATAGCTTCTTTTTTAATTCATTTATTTTTATTATGCTTTTTTCACATTTACATATACCATTCTCATCTTTAATAATAGTGTGGCATCATTACATATACCTGTGATGGCGAACCGATGAACAGGTGGCACGCAGGGCCATTTGTGCGGGCAAGCGAGCCCCAGTTAAACTTACCTGCACTGCGCATGCAGGTGCCTCCCAGCTGATTTTCAGCCCATTTGAGGCCTTTTTTGGCCTCCCTGAGGCCCAAGGGAAACCTCTACAGCCTCAGGAGGCTGAAAAACAGGCCTTCCGGAAATACCGGAAGTGCCTGTTTTCAGCCTCCTGGGGGGCTCAAGGAAAGCTTCTGCAGCCTTTGCAGGCTGAAAAACGGGCCCATTTTGGCACTTCCAGTATTTCAGCCTCCGAAAGCTGCAGAGGCATCCCTCAAGCCTCCGGGAGGGCGAAAACTGCCTCAAACGGGCTGAAAATCAGCTGGGAGGCACGCACATGCGCAACTGGGCCATGCGCAGTGCAAATGAAGAGGCACAGGGGAGTTGTGCACACATGTGCAGGGGAGGTGGGGCGTGTTGCCTTCTGGCACACGAATACTGGCAATTTTCGGCATGGGAGCCCAAAAGTTAGCCACCACTGACATATACAGATCTCCATGCATTTCTATTAATTTATATACACTTCTATACATTTTTTTTCTTATCTCTAGTGTTCTTATTCCTACTATTCCACCATTCGTACCAATTATCCCACACCACGTAGTACTCTGACTCTTCTTTGCCTTTTAGTTCTAGAGTGAGTTTGTCCGTTGCAGCACATTCTAATACCTTTTGGATTACTAATTCCTCCAACGGTGTCCCATCTCATTTTCAACCTTGTGCGAATGCAACCCTCGCCGCTGTTATGTGCAGTAGTATATATTTATACTCTTTTTACTACATTTCCCCTTGATTGTCCCTAAAATGAACAGTTCAGGTTGTAAACTCTATTTGACGCTTCGTTATTTCTTGCAACCGACTCCGTATTTCGACCCAATATTTTTTGGCTTCGGGGCATAGCCAACACCTGTGGAAGAAGGTACCTTGGCCCTGTTTTCACTTCCAACATCTTTGATTCATATTGGGATACATCTTTGCCAATCTCATTAGTCATATATAGCTTCTAAGGTTGCTGGACAGATCTGGGTGGCCTCCTCTTTTGTGAACCAACTGTGCCCTCCTGTGGTCACGAGTGCAAATAGTGATTTCTTTTTCGCCCTCTTCTGTCAGCATCAAGAGGTTTCCTTGGATCAGCCACAGAATGATATTTGATATCTATGATCAGAGCAGCAACATCACTGTATACCAATACAGGAGAATATTTTGTAGCTCAACTTTGTAGGTCCTTGGTGCTCTCTGTGCTGGGTGGTTTTCTGGCAGACGTTTAATTACCTCACTAGGTAACATCATCAGTGCTATTAGCTAGTAGGACTAGCACTGATGATGCTACTTAGTTTGGGTCATGAAATGTCTGCAAGAAAACCACAAGGTTAGAGAGCACCAAGGACAGTTGTTCTCCAGTCTTCTTCTCCTCCTCCTTCTCTGTCTCCTCCTCCTCTTCCTCCTCTTCCCTCCTTCCTCCTTCTTTCTTTCTTCTTTTCCTCTTCTCCTTCCTCCCTCCTTCCATCTTCTTCCTCCTCTCTGCAAACCCCACTCCCTTCTAGCACTGATGCTATTATTTAGTTTGGTAATGAAAACGTCTGTAAGAAAACCACCAAACTCAGACCGCACCAAGGACCCCACAGTCATCTTCCTCCTCTGCCCTGCAAACTCCCTACTAGCACTGATGATGTTACCTAGTTGGGTCATGAAATGTCTGCAAGAAAACAACCAAGCTCAGAGAGCACGAAGGACCCAGTGTCGTCCTCCTCCTCCTCCTCCTCTCCACAAATCCCATTCTCTTCTGGCATTGATGATGTTCCTTAGTCTGGTAATGAAACGTCTGCAAGGAAAACCACCAAGCTCAGCACACAAGGACCCTTCTAATTACTGTATGCAGAGACCTTGGGAAGATTCAATGCTACCCACCAGGAAGGAAAATTAGGAAAGCTGAAAGGTTTTTGGAGAGAGGGATAATTTTGACTCCTCAGAGCAGAGAAAATAATAAGCGAATAACAGAGTTGGAAGGGACCTTGGAGGTCTTCTAGTCCAACCCCTTGCTCAAGCAGAAAGAGTCACACAGTATCTTAAAAATCTTTTTAAAAATAAAATAAAATGATGGACCAGCCAGGTTTTCTTGATATGATAACACAGCATGTTGAAAATGGATGGATGGGGGAAAAGAATGAAGTGGGGGCATTTCTTTTTTTTTTCTTCAATTTTTAAAAACCTTTATTAAAGTTTAAAATATTAAAATACAAATACATCTATAACAAAAAAATAAGTTTGTACGATTCACCATCATTCTTTGACAGTACAAAAGTTAGCTTTATTAATACATTTTCAGATACTTCTAATTAATCATATACATATACAAAATTTATACCTTATTCTAATCTATGTTTCACATTCCTATTTTCGGTACATTGATACCAGTTATCGCAAATTGAATAATATTCTGAGTCTTCCTTATTACTTAATTCTATAGCAAGTTTATCCATTTCTGCACACTCAAAAATTTTTACGGCTTATTAAACAATCTGTCAGTACAGTGGCCATTTTCCAAGATTGTGCGAGTACAATTCTTGCTGCTGTAGTAATAGAATAGAATATAGAATAGAATAGAGTGTAGAATAGAGTAGAATATAATAGAATATAGTATAGAATAGAATAGAATAGAATAGAATAGAATAGAATAGAATAGAATAATGGAATGGAATAAAATAGAATAGAATATAGAATACAATAGAATATAGAATAGAAATATAGAATAGAATATAGAATAGAATATTTTTTTTAAAAAAAGAATAGAATAGAATATAATTCTTTATTGGCCAAGTGTGACTGGGCACACAAGGAATTTGCCTTGGTGCAAATGGTCTCAGTGTACATAAAAGAAAAGATACATTTGTCAAGAATCATCAGGTACAACACTTAGTGATAGTCAGAGGGTACAATAAACAATCAAATCATATGTACAACCAAATATTTAATCTTTTCAGGATATTTTCCCTTAATAATCCCCAGAAGAAACAGTTCAGGCTTCAATGTGTGTAGTTCTTATTACATCCCATTGTCAGAATCACTTATGTGAGATGGGAAGTTATAGAAAATGAATGAATAAAAAAATAAGCTCTGACAAAGGAGCTTTACAGGTACACTGCAGCTCCACATGGAAGTTCTATCTGTTTACTCTTCTTCGTTTCCAGAAGCAGAGGTCAAATTGTTGTTGATGATGATTGGGGTGGTTGTTCACAATGTTCAATATTGTTACTATTGCGGTTATTATCTCAATGTCCAATTAAACTATTTTCAACATCAGCCTACATTTCCCAAAAGTCTCTGGTACATTTCCCCCCCCCCCCCCAAAGTCCTCGACCAATGGGAAGCAGCGAACAAGCATGAACTCCTATCCGCGCCAGAGAGCGGCCGGCTCTCAAAGAGCGTCAACTACACTTCCCAACACGGCTCGCGGTCCTTTCCGTCCACGTGACGCCAGCTGGCCAATGACGAGCTGGAGAGCAGCCCTATAGTCCTCTGCGCCGGCGGAAGCCGCCTCTTTTTTTCGCCAGAGCGGCGCGGCTCAAGATGGCGGTACAGATCTCCAAGAAGCGAAAGGTGAGGTTCTTCGGAGTCTTTCGTGGAGCCTTATGGCGGGGCGGCCGGGGAAGAAAGACGACCGGGAGAAGGCGCGGCGGGTCGGGCGGCGGGGTGGGGCCGGCTAGGTGGGCAGCCGCGACGGCGAGACCCTCGGATGGGAGTGGATTGAGGCGCCCTCCATCTCTCCGCAGCTCCGGCCCAAATCCTATTTGGGTCTAGCTGGGCCGAGAAGGCAGCGAGATCGAGGCTAGACGGGCCGGCCGGGACCGGAAGCGGCCCGATAGCTTAAAACATGTATGTATGTATGTACGTATGTATGTATTAGCACGTGGTTATTCCTAAGTACCATTATGTGAGTGGAGCATGGGACATGTTTTCCTCTGCAACAGCCCTGCGAGGTAGGTTGGTTGGCTAGACTGCAGGGGCCCTCAAACTTAGCGACGTTAAGACTTGTGGACTTCAACTCCCAGAATTCCTTAGCCATCAAAAATTCTGGGAGTTGAAGTCCACAAAGTCTTAAAAGTCGCCAAGTTTGGAGATTCCCTGGACTAAAGAGTGGCTGAATCGGGACTTGAACCTGCGCCGGCTTGCAACAACAGCTTTGTGAGGAAGGCTGGGCAGAGGGGGGGGGACATTTGGGGGGGAGGGGCTTCTAAAGCCCAGGATAGGCTGGGGGGATTCTGGGAGTTGGAGTCCACGCATCTCAAAAGGTTGCCAAGGTTGAATGAAAAAAAAAAATTGCTTTAGGAGTTCAAGGTCGTTTCTATATTAATGTGAAATAGGGTTAGTCTGAGACTGTCAGGCCAAACGTCCCCAAGGGACCATCTGTAGTTGAAGGGAGGACTTGAACCTGGGTCTCTCCAGTGCCAGACCTTCATTTTAACTGCTATTGTGCAGTTAAAATGCTGGTCGGACATTGGAGGGACCAAGGTTTGTGTGTCGGGCAGACACACAACCATCTTTGCCCCAACACCCAACCCAACTTTGGGTATTGGGGCAGACAGGGAAGTACCTGTTGAACTGATGTGTGACCAGATCCCCCACCCTCCCAAGAGAGCAAAAGGCAACGGGGACTTAAATGATGGGTGATTCACATACTCTGCTCTTATATATGGGACACTGCAGCCGTCGGTCAATGTAAACCTGTTGCCAAGTGTCTCAATTTTGATCATGTGACCCAGGGAGCCGTTGACAAAATTGTGTGAAAAAAATAATAATCATAAGTTAACTTTTTTCACTGCCGTTGTAACTTCGAATGGTTGCTGAGTGAACTATTGTAAGTCAAGGAATTATACCTGTACTTGAAATTTGTTAGGGATACGCCCTAGCAGAATCTGCATGGCAGTCAGGCAGGCAAAATATGTGAGATAAACGTGGTTTTTTTTTTTTGTAGCTTACACTCAGTAAAACAGATACACCGTGCTAGTTAAATAGTTTATTCCAGCAAGAGTTTTAGCATAGTCAAAAAACAGTCCATATATCATTCACTAGTTCAGCCTGTCCGGGGATTATTCAGTTGCAAATTCCAGTGTCGAAAAAGAGGTCAGTAAACTTACAAATATCAGTCCAGGAATATATCTCCTTGCAGTAGAGATATGAAGTCAAAACTCCTTTCTTCCTTCAGCAACTCAGCAGTAGAGAAAACACGCAGTTAACAAACCATCAATCCATCAAACCAGGAATCGTCAGGAATCCAACAGGTTCTCTTGCTCCCTCTTATGGCGGTTCACAACTGCACCCAAAATTACATGCTTTGCAGTTTAAAGTGACACACACTTAAACTTACTATCATAGTTTATATATATTATTTTACCCAAACTGCATTAGGTAACCTTGTTATTCCTAACAAAATTGGTTTGAAATGGGTCTGGGGCCTCCGGTGTTAAGCATTGTGTGACTTTCCCACTTCCAAGGTAACGGCTTGCCTTTAGGGCAGGGCTTCTCAACCCAGGGGTGCAAGACTTGGGTTAAGAGTTTCTGAATTGTAATGTGTGTGCATAATTCCAACCAGGTATTTACTCACGGGGGTGTGAGAGTATCAGAAGCGTGCTGGGTATAAAAAAGGTTGGGAACCCCTGATTTAGGGCAATACTGTTGGAGGCTGACTTGCTGTGTGCCCTTTACTTATTGTGGGTCTGCGAGGTTGTGCTTGGCCTGATAATCTCACTCTTTTGTATTTGGTTTCCAGTTTGTGGCTGATGGAATCTTCAAAGCCGAACTGAACGAGTTTTTGACTCGGGAGCTGGCTGAAGATGGCTACTCCGGGGTGGAGGTCCGTGTTACCCCAACCAGGACCGAAATCATCATCCTTGCTACCAGGTCATTTGTGTGGTCTTGCTGTCATGTGGTTGCAATAATAATAATCATCATCATCATCAGATGCTACCTTAATAGTTCCTAGGTCCTTGGTTAGGACTTGAATTGTTGAGCTACCAACCAGCCCCCAAAGGCTGTGAATCTCACTAAAGATTTAATAATAATAATAATAATCCTGAAACACTTTGTGGATTAGCTGTTCCCCCATTTATCTGAAGAGCCGTCCTTGGGAGCATCTGCTGCCTTCATTCTTACTCTGGTTCAGGGGTCCCCAAACTTGGCAGCTTTAAGACTTGTGGACTTCAACTCCCAGGATTCCTGAACTAACCATGACGGGAGGAGGAATTCTGGGTGTTGAAGTCCACAGGTTTTAAAGGTCAAGTTTGAAGACCTCTGCTCCAGTTAGTTAGTTAGTTAATTGGTTAGTTGGGAAGTCCCCTACCAGGGGACGTAGATAGGACTCTGAGCAGGGCCTCTGTGCCAAATCTTACAGGATGGGCAAATTTACTTTGATGTAAGTAATCTTCAATATAATCACCTCTGAACTATATAAGGCTGGGTAAAGTTATTCTGTGGGCAAGTCTAGAGGAACCAATCTCTAATGGACTGAGACCTTTTGAGTTTCTGGATAGTCCTCTGATCAGGGCTCTATGGCGTACTTTCTGACTGACAACATTTACTAAATGAAAACAGCGTTTACTATAATGAAATTTTACATAAAAGTGCTGCTGTAAACAAGCTCATTTGCTTCTGCAGACTTATATCATCAGTCTGCCTGCAACAGGTGGTCTTCAGCCAGTCAATTGCAGCAGTCCAGACATGAGATGCCAAGGATACGAGTGTCCTGTGTGCGAGGCCACTTAGTCTGGTGCACAAAATGTTTTACGAGGTTCTCTTGAGCTTCTGGAGAAAAAAAAAAATCAAAAGCAACCCCTTCAATTTCTATTCAGAAATTGGCAACCGGTGCTTCTATTGTAACGCAGAGGTCGTATGATCCTTTTCCCTGCTGTAATTAGTAGCTGAGCAGCTGTAGGGGTTTTTTTTGTTTTTTTTTTACTACCGGTAGTTGCTACTCTTGGACAATCTTGAGAGAACAAGGTGTTTGTCGGGGTCTCGCTTGTGAGCTGAGCTCTCTCAAAATTGGGTGCGTGGGTGGATGGACGGACGGACAGATGGATGGATGGATGCAGGTAGATACGGATAGATGCTGTGTTTCCCTGAAAATAAGACCCTGTCTTATATTTTCATTGTCACCAAAAAGGTACCGGATCTTATTTTAGGGGGACGTTATCCCCTGACTAACCTCATCGCCCCCAGCCTCCTTTTCGCTATCAGAGGCCTTCAGGATCTTCTTCTGCAGCCGGCAAGGCCTTCCTGAAGGCCTCTGCAGCCGATAAACAGCTCAGGATCGATCCTGAGCTTTGTGTCAGCTACACAGGCCTTCAGGAAAGCCTTGCCGGCTGCAGAAGAAATGGGCCGGCCAGGCAGGTGCCAGGGTGTGCCAGACCTGGCTACAATGGTCGACAGGTAAGTAAGGCAGCCCCACCCCCACCCTACCTTAATTTTTACCTGTCCACTCAAGTGGGCAGGGTCTTCATTAGGGCTTATTTTGGGTGCATGTGCCAAAAAAAAGAATCAGGCTAGGACTTACTTTCAGGATAAGTCATATTTTCGGGGAAATGTGATAGATGTAGTCCTTCACTTACGACCGGTCACTTAGTGGCTGTTTAAATTACAAATGACCCTCCTCACAGAGGTTCCAAAAATTTGAGTGGCTGTGGCCTTCCCTCTCTCTCCCGCTTCCCACCTCAGCCGTCCTGCGGCTACATTTTAGATGTTGAACAACCAGCCCGCGTATTTGACTTGATAGCAACATCCTGCAATCACATAAACTCACCGTGATTTTTGCTGAAAAAACCGGCATTTGCCTCTGGGTTTGGGCAGAAACCTCCCACGGCGAACAATGGGCTCGCTTAACGAGCATTGCAAAAGTCATAATACTGGGTCAGTCAAGTATGCGATGTCCCAATTTACAACTGTGGTAGGCAGGTACCAAAACAGGTAGCGGTAGTCAAAGAGAGAATAGAAGTACAGCCTAATTTTAGATGCACGCAGAAGCGGAGGTGGTATATTCAGCCAATTCTGGAGAACCAGTAGCAGAAATTTTGAGTAGTTCGGAGAACCGGCAAATGCCACCTGGCTGGCCCCGCCAACTCCTATCTGTTCTCTGCCTCCCATTGAGTCCCAGTTGATTGGCTGGGTCTCCTTTGGTTGCCCTGCACAGGAGAACGGAGCTGGAAAGCAGGTTAGTGGGGTGGGGAGCGAATGAGGATTTCGGAGTAACCTTCCCCTGCCACTCTCCTGCCAAGCCATGCTGCGCCGACAGAACCGGTAGTAAAAAAAAATAAAAATTGAATCCCACCACTGAGCAGAAGAAATGACTTTGCGAACCCCTCCTGAGAAAAAACTGGGTCGATTCAGATAATTATTAATTCCAGTAGCTGTGAAAATGCAGGCTAGATTTTTTAAAAAAAATATTGGAAATATTCAAAGTTTATTCTGGCGGAACCGAGCGAATGCCAACCTTCCCTTTTGCATTTCAGAACTCAGAACGTCCTGGGGGAGAAAGGACGCCGGATTCGCGAGCTGACGGCCGTGGTTCAGAAGCGATTTGGATTCCCGGAGGCCAGCGTGGAGGTATAACGATGCCACCTGCGCTGGCTGGGGCGTCCGGGGAGTTGGACGTCCACCCACCTTAAAACTATCCGAACGTGGGGAAAACCCTGCCTTCGCGCTCATCTTCCCTTCAGTGACGATACGATGACGAGTCAGAAGCGGACACCCTCTTGCTCGGAGCCAACAGCCCGGGGGCCATGTTCTGTGGCCCTTTGCTGGTTGACTCTGACAAGGGTGCCCTGATCACTGGATGAACTCGAGGCATTTGTCTGAGAAGGGACAGGCAGGATTCCTTAAAACGAGAATTTTAAAAGCCGCGAGCAGTTCCAACTGTGGCTTTTAACAGGCTTGACTTAACGACCACAATCGAGCCCAAAGTTTCTGTTCTTAAGCGAGACATTTCTTAAGTTGAGTTTTACCCCATTTTAGGCAAGGGAGGGGGGAGTGAAAGGGGTTTGAAAGAGCAGTGCGGCAGCTTGGAAATCGGAAGTGCATTCCATACATGGTTTTTCAGAGATTGTAACTAGGCGACGGAAGTTTCTGCCGTGCCAAATTCTAACTGGAGAGCCTGATGGATGACTCTGGGCTATGGAGGTTTCCCATTGGAGGATATGAATTATGATACACCCAGAGGGGTGGGGGAAAACCAGGGTCAAGGGTGACCATGAATGATGGGCCTCAGAGTCGGCTACACCCAGGCGGTGCCGGACATGTTAACTCCCAATAAATCTTTTGGAAGTTTGGCTCGAGACTCAGGATTTAATTGGGGTAACTGACGGAATCCTGACATCTTTCTTGCCGCCGTTGTTAAGTGAGTCACTGCAGTTCTTAAGTTAGTAACACGGTGGTTAAGTGAATCTGGCTTCCCCCTCTTGATCACGTGACCCTGGGATACTGCGACCGTCATAAATACGAGTCAGTTGTCAAGCATCTGAATTTTGATTAGGTGTCTCCATGGATGCGGCGACGGTCATAACTCTGAGAAACGGTCAACAAGTCACTTTTTTCAGTGCCGCTGCAGCTTTGAACAGTCTCGAAATGAACTGTTGTAAGCCGAGGATTGCCTGTATTGTCTGCGTGTCAGTTGTGTGTCGAGTGTTGGGATTGGAAAGGCAGGTATCGAAAACCTCTCCACTGTGAGAGGAAACTGAAATTTCTTTACAAAGAGTCCTCAACTTAAAACAGTTCACTTCGTGACCAAAGTTAACAGTATCGTGGGGAAAAAGTGACTTGCGACTGTGTCAGGATTCTGGCAGCTACCCCAATTAAATCGTGAGCCTCAAGCAAAACTTTCAAAGGATTTATTGGGAATTAACACGTCCGGCACTGCCTGGGTGTAGCCGAATCTGAGACACGTCATTCACTGTCACCCTTGACCCTGGTTTCCCCCCACATCCCTCTGGGTGTATCATAATTCATATCCTCCAATGGGACACCTCCCTAGCCCAGAGGCATCAATCATTTATCCAGTTAGAATTTTGCATGGCAGAAACTCCGATCACCCAGTTACTATCCGAAAACATTTTATGGAATGCACTTTCGGTTTGCAAGCTGCCTCACTGCTCCCCTCTCCCTTTCAGCTGGCAACTCTGAAAAGACCATAGAAATATTTTATGAGTTGACTGTTTTCACACTTAAAGACATTTGCAGTATTCCTGTCATCCAAATACCAATGCTTGTCGTGTATTTATGACGTTTGCGGCATCCTGGGGTCGTGGTTTTACGACCACCTGACAAGCAAATTCAGTGGGGGGAAATCCAGATTCACTTAACAGCCGGGTTAACTAACTTAACAACTGCCGTGATTCCTTCTGACAGCAGAGGCAAGAAAGACTGGAAAACTGAGCCAACTTTCGCTTAATCCCTGTCTTGCTTAGCAACAGAAGTTTTGGGCTTGCGTCCTAAGTGTGCAAAATGGCCATAAGTCACTTTTATCAGTGCCATTGCAACAGTCATTAGACAAATGGCTGTAAGTCAAGGACTACCTGTTTCTTCCACATGGGGGGGAGGGAATAAATAATTTCCACTAATTACAAAGAAAAAAAGGGAGGGTTTTTTTTTTTTAGCAGGGATTTGTTAACTCCTCCTGCCTATGACGTGTTTGTGAAGCATGTCGTTCTCTCTCTCTCTCTCTCATAGCTCTATGCTGAGAAAGTGGCCACCCGAGGACTCTGCGCCATCGCCCAAGCCGAATCCCTGCGATACAAGCTTCTGGGAGGCCTGGCTGTGCGTAGGTGAGCCTCGGGCCCAAGCCGGATCCGAGCTTTTCCGTTTCAATCTGTCTTCCCTCTATAAGCTTTTTGCGCAGCTTCGACGGGACGCAGCGGACGCTTACCGGTGGCTTCTTTTCAACGTTGCCTTGCGTGCCTAAGGAAGGGGCCCGCCACCCCTGTCCTCGGCGGCCTCTTTTGGAAGCCAAAAGAAACCCCCTTCTGTGATGATACGATGACGAGTCAGAAACGGCCTCCTCCTGCCCAGGCTCATCGATACCGTGCCACGTTCTGTGGCCCTGGGGTTGGTGGCTTCGGCAAAGGAGGAGGCCCGGTCATTGGATGAACAAGAGGCATTTGTCTGAGAAGGGAAAAGCTCTTAAAAAGACATTCTTGCTTAACATCGAAGGGTGAATGAATTGATTTTTTTATTAATACCTCTGGAAAACATTTGACCAGCCCTGTGCAATTTTTGTTGTTAGTGGCGAAGTTGTGTCCGTCCCCATCGCCACCCCGTGGACAACATTCCTCCAAGCCTTCCTGTCCTCTGCCATCTTCTGGAGTCCATTGAAGCTCGTGACTGCTGCTTCAGTGACTCCATCCAACCCCAATTCTCCTTTTGCTCCCAATCGTTCCCAGCATGCGGCTCTTCTCCAGAGAGTCCTTCCTTCCTTCTTCTGAGGTGGCCAAAGTATTTGGGTTCCCTCTTCAGGATCCGGCTTTCTAAAGAGCAAGTCTGGGTTGGTCTCCTCTAGGACTGACCGGTTGGATGGCCTTGCGGTGACTCCTCCTCCAGCACCAGAGTTCAAAGGCCTCCATTCTTTTGGCGCTCAGCCTTCCTTACGGTCCCACTTTCACAGCCATGCATTGCAACTGGGAAAACCAGAGCCTCGACTCTACGTCCTTTGGATGGCAGAGGGGGGTGTCTCTGCTTTTTCAGTGTGCAGTCTAGATTTGCCATAGCTTTCCTCACCAGGAGCAAGCGTCTTTTGATTTCTTGCCTGTGCAATTTAGACATCACCAAATTGCGACTTGTGGGGCTGAAAAACTATCCCTCATATAGTGACAGTGTCAAAAACAAAGCCTTATAATGGAAATTTTGCTGATTGGATAGTTGGGACACATGAACTAAATAATTTATATTGGCAACTTTGTGATCTTTCTGTTAAGCTTTCGGATTTTATATTCCGTGTTTGGTATTTTACCTCTTGTGTTGCTTTTTGCTGGCGTACCTGAAGGTGCCTTACGTGATTAATTTTAAATTTTTTTTTAATTAATTACACTTAGAGGGCTGCTGGCTCTCGTGCTTCTATTTAAACAGTCCCAAGTCCTCAGTCGTGTGTTCTGTCTGTGCGCAGGGCGTGTTACGGCGTCCTCCGTTTCATCATGGAAAGTGGAGCCAAGGGATGCGAAGTGGTAGTGTCCGGCAAACTCCGTGGCCAGCGCGCCAAGTCCATGAAGTTTGTGGATGGGTTGATGATCCACAGCGGGGACCCCGTCAACTACTACGTGGACACTGCCGTGCGCCACGTCCTCCTCAGGCAGGGTAAGGCAGGCGGGAGACCTCCATCCGCTCCGTTCAGCTCCGATTTTGGAAGACCCTGGTCCCTTCTTCCTCCTCCTCGTGGGTCTTGCCCCAAGGAGACTTCGCTGAGCTACTGTCAGGCGCAAACAACCCAGAGTTCAAATCATAGACTGTGTCAGGATTCCAGCAATCGCCCTAATTAAATCATGATCCTCGAGCCAAACTTCAAAAACCTTCAAAGGATTCATAAGAGGCGACATCCTGGCACTGCCCTGTAGGAAGCCAACTCTGGCCTAGGTCATTTCCGGTCCCCTGTGTGACCCCGCTTCTCCCCCCCCCCCCCCCCCCGCCCTTCCACTGGGTGTGTCATAAATCAGATTCTCCAATTGAGCGTCTTCACAGGCTGGGTGTCATCAATCATGTTCTCCAATGAAATATGTTTGCGGGCAAAAGCTCCGGTCGTCAGTTGGAATCTACTTTTACTTTCAAACTGCTGCACTGCCCTCCCAGATTTCCTTCCTCCTCTCCCCCCGCTTTTTACGGCAACTAGTAAACAGGCCTAAGAATGTTTTATGAGTTGACAGAACGTTTATTATTGCTACCTATACAGGTAGTTCTCGACTTAGATTTAGCAGCAGCTCTGGGATTTACCGTATTTTTCAGAGTATAAGATGCACGTTTTCCACTCCCCAAAGTGGGTGGAAACGTGTGCATCTTATAACAGCGAATGTTGCCACAGCCCCGCCCACCCACCGGCCCCCACTCTTCAGCCTCCTTGCGGCAAACAAGCCCGCTTCAGTTTCCACGCAGCCCTGATCACCATAAGCAGCTGATCGTTGGTTGGATCGCCCTCCCGACGTTGGCTATTGCCACCTCTGCGCGCCCCGTTTTCCGCCCATTCCGATCCCCGCTGCATGGGACGGGCGGAAAATGGCCCAAAACATGACGCGCGGAGGCTGAAAATGGACGTGTGGAAGGCAGCAATCGACGCCGCCTGAAACAGCTGATTGTCAGGAGGCCGATCCAACCGACGATCAGCTGATGGTGCGGATCGGGCTGTGCTGAAGTTGAAGCAGGCTGTTGGCTGCAAGGAGGCTGACGGCTGGAAGGCAAGAGGCAGATTTTTTGGGGGGGTCTTGTTTTCCTCTCCAAAAGCCAGGCGCATCTTATACTCCGGAGCGTCTTACACTCCAAAAAATAGAGTTATATACCGCTTCACAGTTCTTTCCAGGCCTCTCAAAGCGGTTTATGGAATCATCATCCTGCCTCCCACAATCCCCTCTCTAGGCAGCTTCCAGGGTCAGTTTAGGACTCCCAACAATTTGCACAGGGGGGGTGTTGAGAGGAACAGCCTCCTTGTCTCGCAGCTTGCAGGGCCTCACTTTTTCTTCTTCCTCCTCTGTTTGCAGGTGTGCTGGGTATTAAGGTGAAGATCATGTTGCCCTGGGATCCCAGTGGGAAGATTGGGCCCAAGAAGCCCCTGCCGGACCACGTCAGCATCGTGGAGCCCAAAGAAGAGATTCTGCCCACAACGCCCATCTCGGAGCAGAAGGGCACCAAGCCAGAGCAGCCGCCGATGCCCCAGCCGGTGCCCACGGCGTGAGAGGTGAGGCTTTAAAAAGGTCTGAGGAGGGTAAACGAAAAAGCAACCTTGTTGGGCTCCTTGGCCCTCCCTGAGCTTGGGTCGCTTTCTGGCAGACGTTTCCTGACCCAGCTAGGTAAGCGCATCAGTGCTAATAAGAGAGAGGGGTTTGCGGAGCGGAGGAGGAAGACCGCGGGGCCCTTGGTTTCTCTTGAGTTTGGCGGTTATCCTTCAGGCATTTCACGACCCAACGAGGTCCCCCTTGTCGGTGTTAGAGGGGAGTGTGGTTTCTTTTTAAAAAAAAACAAGTTTTATTGATTTTACAAACAAACAAACAAAACAAAACATCATTAAACATTAAAAACATAAAACCTCTTTCCATTGTAGATCTTTACAAGGCAGGTAACATATTGCTTTATATCACGTACTTATAATTTATCCCATTTCCATATAAACACGTAAATTCCCTTTACCAAATTCCACATTGTTTCTCTTTAATCATTATTCAATCATATTTCCTTTCTGATTTATCTGCTATTCAGTCATCACATTTATATTTTCCTCTGGCTTGTTTATAATTATTCTCATCTAGTCTTCCTCCGAGATTTTATTATTTAATTCTTAATTAAACACACACACATAAGACATAAACATAAAAACATAAAACTTTCTTCTAGAAAGTAACTTGGCCCCAGATTACCTCTTTTTGCATGGACTTCAATTGAATTCATGCTCTTCTTATATACCATTACCCTTCTTATTTACCATTCTATATCTATTATATAACTCCTCTCCACTTTTGCCTCATCTTAATTCTGTTTTATATATTTAATCTTGCTTTAAAGAAAAATATTTGTATATCTTTTGTCCATTTCTCCATTTACATTGTGTCTCATTTCCAATTTAAGAAAGAATAGTTTCCCCTGGAAGGGAGTGTGGTTTCTGTAGTAGAGGAGGCGGAAGAAAAGGACCCGGGGTCTTTGCAGTGCGCCGTGGCGTCCTTTTATGCCGGGTTGTTTTCTTGCAGACGTTGCACGACCCAGCTAGGTAACGTCAGCGCTAAAAGGGAATGTGGGGTATGCTCTCCAAAAGCAAGCTATTGAAATTTAAAGAGAGAGGAAACCCAACTCCCTTCTATAAGTGAAGATGTTCGTTAGTTTGGGTCACGAAACATCCGCAAGAAAAATCCACAAAGCTCAGAGCGCTAAGGACCCCCGGAACAGGGCTCCCCAAACTTGGCAAACTTTTAAGACTTGTGGACTTCAACTCCCAGAATTCCCCAGCCAGCCAGGCCTGCTCCCCCCCCCTCTCTTAATCTCCTAAAGTGGACAGAGAGTAAGTAAGCGATGCTGGCTGGGGAGAATTCTGGGAGTTGAAGTCCACAAGCCTTAAAAGTGGCCAAGTTTGGAGAGCTCTGCCCCAGAACGTGGCTTGAAATGAGCGTTGATGGTTTTAGCATTGATTTTTGTCGACTGGCTTCTGAGCCCATTATTAACGGATTGATTTGCAAGTCACAAGTGCTAAATGTTTTATTTTCAAACTTGGTGGCCTTCTTTCTCACTGGTTCCCATCAGTAGCCATACAAGGACATCTATCTTGAGGGCACCAGTTTAGGGAAGCAAACTCCGTGGATGTATTGGCTGCGTGTCATTCCGAAAAGAATGAAAAAGACCATTTGTATTTATGGAAGAATAAAAATAGGTCTTGTCTTCCCCAAGAGTTCTTTTTATTCCCTGATATATGTATTTTTTTTTCTTTTCCTTGCAGGTTTTTGATTTAAAACCTTGGAAGTTCCATTAAAAAAAAACCTCTTAAATAAATTTTTAAAAAGCCATCAAGAAACGGTCTTTTTTTTTACCCACTCTCGGGACTTGAGAGCTTATCCGTCGGAAACCTAAGTTTTAATTCTTCCCAAGTCAAATCCTGCTCTCAATTACGAGAGCTCAGCCCAGTTACGTAGTGCTTTTCACAGACCAAATCCTCAACTTACAACCCCTTCATTTAGCAACCAGTTGGAAGCCACAAGGGCACCGAAAAGTGTCCTATGAATATTTCTTTATAATAACAGTTGCAGCATCCCTGTGGTCACGTGATCAAAACTCAAAGGCGCTTGGCAACAGGCTTGGATTTACAACGGTCGCTATGTCCCAGGGGTCACCTGATCCCCTTTTTCAGCCTTCTGATTAGCCATGTCAGTGGGGAAGCCTTGGGGTATATTCTCCAATGGGACACATCCCTAGCCAGGAGTCATCCATCATGCTCTCCAGTAATAATCTTGCGCACCAACAGCTTCGGCTGCCTAGCAATTACCTGCAGCATCTAAGGAATGCACTGTTTTTCCCCCTTCCCTTTTCTGCTGGCAACTAAAAAGGCCGAAGGAGTATTGTTTAGTTGACAGCCAGATTCACTTAACAACTTAAATTCACTTTTAACAACTGCCAAGAAACGTAAAACCAAAAATTCACTTGAAAAGGATTTTGCTTGGCAACGGAAAGTTTGGCCTCCGTTGTGGTCGTAAGTCAAGGACTACCTGTAAATTGTCTTTTGCCTTCTGGAATGTGGGGCAGTGGGGAAGCCTTTTTCAGCGGTTCCTGCCCACTCAAAATGTCCAGCAGATGGACGTAGAC